CACAGTACAGGGTCTGTCCTTTGTGACTGACTGACTTTACAGTACAGGGTCTGTCCATTGTGACTGACTGAGTTCACAGTACAGGGTCTGTCCTTTGTGACTGACTGAGTTCACAGTACAGGGTCTGTCCTTTCTGACTGACTGAGTTCACAGTACAGGGTCTGTCCCTTTCTGACTGACTGAGTACATAGTACAAGGTCTGTCCTTTGTGACTGACTGAGTTCACAGTATAGGGTCTGTCCCTTTGTGACTGACGAGTTCATAGCACAGTGTCTGTCCCTTTCTGACTGACTTCATAGCACAGGCTTTGTCCCTTTGTGACTGATGGATTTCCCTTTGTTGCTGACTGAGTTCACATCAGTTTTCAATCCCACCTTCCCACCTGTGTTGTTCAGGTGTACTTCTCATCATGGGTTTAGTTTGATGCACACACGTCTGACTCCTGACCCCTCAGCATCTCCTCAGGCACCCGCTGACCATTGTCCTCCTCCCGTCATCACCCCCAGGCCTGAAGCGTGTCACGGGTGGCTTCAACTCCAAGAACAGGTGTGACGCCAGGACCTACTGCTACATGCTGCCCACCTTCGCCTTTGCGCACAAGGACCAGGACGTACAGGACGAGAGCTTCCGGCTGAGGGCCGAGACGCTGCGGCGGGTCAACGAGCTGCTCGCCTGCTTCTGCGGCACACACAGCTTCCACAACTTCACGTCCCAGAAGGGGCCGCAGGAGCCCAGCGCGCGGCGCTACATCCTGGAGATGCAGTGTGGGGAGCCCTTCGTGCGGGACGGCCTGGAGTTCGCCATCATCACAGTGAAGGGCCAGAGCTTCCTGATGCACCAGATCCGTAAGATGGTGGGTCTGGTGGTGGCCATCGTGCGGGGCCACGCCCCCGAGAGCCTGCTGGCGCGCAGCTGGGGCCCCACGAAGGTGGACGTGCCCAAGGCACCGGGGCTCGGGCTGGTGCTGGAGCGTGTGCACTTTGACAAGTACAACCAGCGCTTTGGGGGCGACGGACTGCATGAGCCGCTGGACTGGGTGGCCGAGGAGGGCGCCATCGCAGCCTTCAAGGAGTGCTACATCTTCCCCAGCATCGTGGACACTGAGCGGCGGGAGCGCTCCATGGCGCAGTGGCTCAGCACGCTGCCTGCGCATGACTTCAGTGCCTCGGCCGAGTCTGTGGCTGGCGAGGCCACTGAGGTCACCGAGGTAGAGTGGGGACCGGGGGGGCCGTGTGAGTGCTTCCGGTGGTGGTAGTGGTGCTCCACTTCGTGGGAGGGTGCTGGGGTGTGGGTGCTGCCCCCTCAGGGCCTCAGCCCTGGAGACGTGGGGGCTGGTTGGTCACTGCCCTGCCTTGCGCTCTGCCACCTCTCTGCACTCTCACCATGGGTGTGATGGCAGCTCTGGGCCGCTTTCCTGGCTGTGAGGTGGGGTAAGGGTGGGGACAGGACCATCCTCGGTGGGCAGCTCTTGGGACCTGGCAGGGAGACTTTCTTACCAAGACATGATGGCCTTGCCCTTCCGTCCGTGGGGCGGGTGGGACCCCAGTTGGAACGCAGCTCCTGTGGGGAGGCCGGCAGCTGCCTGGCTTTGCTCAGCAGCATCGTGTCCTGCGTGTGCCTCTGTCTTCTCCTCTGAGGAGGCCTGTCGTGGTTTAGGACCCACTCTGGGTGACCGTGTTGTAACTCGGTCATAGCTGCAGAGACCTGTCCAACT